ATATTTGAATTATATTGTATATTGTAGATATTTTATATTACATATTTTTATATTTTATATTGTTATTAGGTAGCGCTTTGGACAATTATTGGATTTTAGCGCTATATAAATAAAATTATTATTATTATTATTATTATTATTATGACGCGTCAGCGGATATCTTGGTTTCTTTATTGGGGTCATATAGACTGAGGATTGATGCGTGAGCGAGAGTTTTCTTTACCTCCTCAAATGCTCTCTGCTGGGCTGGTCCCCAGTACCATTCTGTTCCTGTCTTTGCTAAGTCACGGATTGGCTTAGTTTTGTTGGCTAGGTGTTCGGCAAATTTTCCCAGGTGATTTACCATACCGAGAAATGTCCTTACCTCGTCAACGTTCTTCGGTGGCGGCATGTCTACTACAGCAAATACTTTGTCAGGATGTGGTCGTTTTCCTTGCAGACTAATGATATGACCCAAGACCTCGATTGTTGTCGTGTTGAATTCACATTTTGCTGCATTGAGGGTTACACCTGCGGCGGAAAGTCTTTGTAGAACTTTGTTCAATGTGGCGTCGTGTTGACTCTGAGTTGGTGCGTGCACTAATACATCATCAATGTTGCACTGGACTCCTTATAGCCCTTCTAGAATTTGGCTCATGCTCCTCTGGAACTTTTCTGACCCTGAGCTGATACCATATGGGAGTTCGTTGAAATAATACCGTCCCCAGGATGTGATAAACGTGATGAGTCGTCTTGATTTCTCGGCCTACTTAATTTTCCAGAAGCCTGACTTGGCGTCTAAGTTGGAGAAGTGATTCGATTCAGCCAGCTTTCCCAGTGTGTGGTCCACCGACGGGAGAGGATGGTTTTCACGTTGAACGAAATTGTTTAATACTGATAGATCTACACAGATTCTGACTTTTCCATTGGTTTTTGGGGTAACTACCATTGGTGCACACCATTCTGTTGGTTCGTCAATAGGTGATATCACGCCCTGCTGTATCATTCGTTCTATCTCCTCTTTGGTTTCTTTTGCAAGGGACAGAGGGACTCTTCTGGGTACAGGGATTGCATAAGGTGTTCTCCGCTTTTATCTTTCCTAGACCAGTGAAAAGCTGCGGATACTTTTCTCTAATGGTATCTTTGTAGTTGTTTGCAACCATGCTTTCGACTCGGTTGATCAGGTTGAGGTTTTCTGATGCTCGTCTGCCAATTTTTTATTTGTTCATCATTATTATTTTTTTAATTCGAGGTTTTTTCTCATGTTTTGGTTCTCAGTTAAAGTTGAAAAAGAAATACACCAACTTGGTGGTTTTACCTGGTATGTTACAGACATAGTTACATTGTCTTTAGTGTATTTCAAACCAGTGGCCAGCCAACCATTTCCATCCCAGGCCCAGTGAGTGACTACGGGGTACACAAAGCCTACAAGAGAAAATTTTTTCCTATTGATTTGATTCTATCTACTTTTTAGATGCCGTTACTCAAGCTAGGTATGGAATAACATGTATGATGTCCTGATAGGATAGTCTCTACTCGTTAGAAAAACCAAAACCATTTCCGAAAAACGTTTTGAATCAGGCCCTAAGATTTATGGCGAAACGGTAACACCCGAAGGAAGAAAATGTTGGGCGCCCTACTTGATTACTTTGCATTGCACTAGGCCTTTTTTTGCCTGTATCGTTTGCATGCAAAGCCAGCAAAATGGCCGTTTGTATTTAACGAGCCTCGTGACATATCTTTTTCATATTATCTTGTTTCTTTAGTCTTCCTATTTGTACTTCTCAGTTTTAACAAAAATGTTTTGGAGAAAAGTGTTTGTTGCTGTCGTTCGTGAAAAAAATTTGTGTGGTCAAGATAGCATGGTCGATATATTATTTTTTTTTGCTGCCTGTTTCTTTTCAGAATGTGAGCTAGTCCCATAAAACAGTTGACTATTATGCGACGTTTTATTTACCAGTCAAAAACACGGAATAGACGAGATATGCCTTGAACTCCGTCCTCTCCGCCATGGCACCACTGACAATCGTTGCTGCTGTGGCCGCGAAAACGAAATGGAAAAACCAGTGAGAGTACTTGTCAGCTGGTAAATCGGCCAGTGCGAAATACTTGTGTCCAATAAAGGCATTGCTTTCCGCGCCAAATGCAAACGCGTAACCGAACAACCAGTAAGCCACTGCACCGATAACTGTATGAGAAAACACCAGAGTTAAATGGTGTAAGTCAGTTTTGATTAAAACAGAACTGAAAAAAAATTACTGCTCAATTTTACACCATTTACAGGATAAAACAGGTTAAATTAAAACTATGTGTTTTTCAGATTTTTGTCAGCAACAGAATTAGCTGCTTTCTTTTTGCTACATTTTCGGTCTATGGGAAGACACAGGAAACTCTACAACTTAATGTATCTTGGCCCACCTGATAACCTTGACTTCATCGAGGGATCTTACCCTTCCCATTTGTAACCATGGTGAGGATAATAACAATAGAGAGAAAGCTAAGCACTTTCTTCCCTCAAAACTGTGAATTGCTCAATTACGATTTCGAAAACAATTAAAAGGTTCACAATTGCTAATTGGACAGAAAGGCTCAAAATCTTATTAAAAAGCCTATTTATCTCTCGTTTCATCCTTTTACTTTGCTTTGTGAAATACATACTTACACACGTCCAAGAAATTCTTTATTAGGATGTTCGTTGTGTTCTTCGATCTCACTGATCCGGCTTCGAGGAAAGCAAATCCTGTCTGCATAACTGAAAAATGTTGACAGGAATTCAATCACCTGTATGTTTTATACCAATATATAGTAAGAACACGATAAAGGGCCACAGATTCAATTCATTGTTATTCCTTCTTTTGTTAATCTTAGGTTTGTTATTCTCAGATTTGCTAAAGCATACCAGCCAGACGGTTCTGTCCAGGTGTACCGGCTCACAAGGGAATTACCATTGTTCTTCCTTTGTTTAGGAGTTATCGGTTAGCTATTGTGTATTGTTTGGTCTTTTGGCTCTTGTGAACCGGTACACGAGGACAGAACCAGCCAGACGGACCCTGGTGGCCCTGTGTTCCGTAGTTAATCCCAAAAAATAGTGTATAACTAGTTCGTTTAAACGCATTGCTCGTATGAAAGAAAATATTAAAGTCAGGAACAGTCGCAGAAATGGCACAGGTTATTTGAAGCTGTTTACAGCTTTGAAGTTGAAATTGCTTTAAACGCCCCTTGTTTTAATTCAAGCTCATTTCTTGTTGTGAGCAACGCAATTTGGCATTTTTCATACCAAGGCGGTTGAACGTTTGAAAGCTGTTTCCAAAGAAAACATACAAGAATCACCTAAGAACTGACGAAGAAATCCTTTAAGATAGTTCTCTTCTACGTTGCGATGTTTTTGTCAAATGAATGAACGATTTCTGCGCCAGTTTGTTAAAAGGTTTAACCTGATAGAATTGCAACTGGTGATTTTGAGCAAAGGTTGAAAATGGCAATGTGAAATGTCAGCTGATTTCAAAATGCCTATCACAAATATGGAATGAAAGAAAATCACATGCAGTAAATCACAATGACTGACCAAGGCCCATGTAAACATTTCCATTATTACGTAGGGCAGGTTTCAAGAACTTACAAAAGATGAGGCATCCCATTAAAACCAAAAAAAAATGATCCAGGTTCCCTTGTAACATGCTTAAAGTCTTCTTGACCTCCAGAAACTCAGTTGCGCTGGCAAAGCTCATTTTGGCTCTATTCAGTAGCAACAAGCAAACGACTTCCTAGCGAGAACCAAGACCGTAAAGTCGAATGAGTGAATAGGTGGTTTGCACGTTACGTCATGGCCGCCATGTTGGTGGACATAAGCAATGGATATCTCATTAGCTTCTTTTGTTCGTCCACCAGCACTTGTTCCTTTCACCATTGTTACCTGTGTCTCTAGAGATTGGTTGCAAACCACCTGTAGAACTTGGAATGTAATTTTTAAATGGCGATTATATAGAGCAGTCTCTCGGGAGCAGACGCATTTAGAATGCGATCAATTACACAGTGGTGGCTCATTTCATAAAATGGTAATTTTAAACGTGAGTTATTTTTTTCCTTTTTGTCCTGCAAATAAGATGCCTTCTGATATTAAAGGGAAGGATTTTTTGGTTATGCGAGAGTATTAACCGAATAATGGCATACATACATATTTATTGCGCTCCCTGAAAAGCGCTTTTCAGCAGCAATTTTTAAATAACAAATAGACTAACTTGAATATAAATTAAATGAAAATCTTACATGAATTAGAAATAATTTAAAAATCTTAGTGATCTTAATGAAATAATATCAATTATTAACTATCAAATACAACGTTTCATGATAAATTGTTTAAAAACAGTTCGCATACATTCTTTTTAAAAGTCCTCAGTGAAGGGGTTAACTTTAGGTCCAAGGGGAGTGAGTTCCAAACTTTTGCTCCCCGAAAGGCAAATGACCTCTGGCCAGTAGAAAGTCGACAGTGTGGCAAGTTGAGATCATTATAATCAACAGATCATGTAAGTTGTCTATTATGAACTTGTGACCTATATACAAATTTGTCTTTCAAATAGATGGGCACCCGATGGTGTAAGCATTTTTGCACCATGACGGCTGTGTTTAATCGAAATTTATCTTCAATACTAAGCCACCTAAGTGATTTAAGGTCCTGAGAGATGTGATCGAACTTTTTCAGGCCGAATACAATCTTTCCCGCGAAGTTCTAAACCAGTTGCAGCTTCTTTATATTTGACTTGGATGTTTTTCCCCAAACAGTCGAACAATAAAAGAGTTTACTAAATACAAAGGCATTAATCGTTAAAAGTAGAGTTTTCCGATCCAATAAGTGTTTTATCCTATTTATTTGAACAAATGTTTGAACACAGCTCGAAACTAGCTTTGATATATGTTCATTATAATTGAGAGTTTGGTCGATATAGGCACCTAGGTCTCTGGCAACAAAAACAGGTTCAATCTCTTTTCCAAGGATGGTACCACATAGACGTGGCAAATTACGCAAGAGTTGTGGAACCCCAATAACCAAGAGTTTAGTCTTGTCAGGGTTAATCAATAATGAATTCTTGCAGCACCAACGTGATATTTCCAAGAGGTCTTCATTTAACGCATTGCTTCCGTCAGTAATATAACGAGAAGCAAAAGATAAGAAAAATTTTGTGTCGTCTACGTAACCTGAAGATTTACAGTGCTTAGGAATCGACAAACAAATCTTTAACATACACTGTGAACAGTACAGGACCTAGAGTGGAGCCTTGGGGAACCCCAAAATTGAAAGATAATGGATCAGAAATAGCGTCCTTAATTCTAACCAATTGACTACGTTTGGTCAAGTAACTCTTAAACCAGGTCCAAGCGGTAGTAGAGACGCCGGTCAAGTAACTCTTAAACCAGGTCCAACCGATAGTAGAGACGCCGGTCAAGTAACTCTTAAACCAGGTCCAAGCGATAGTAGAGACGCCGGTCAAGTAACTCTTAAACCAGGTCCAAGCGGTAGTACAATGGCTCAAAGCACTAATATACGGTGGCCCAGAGGGGACATGCTGCATATAAAAATAGTTGCTGCAAATATAAAAAAATTGCTATATAAAAACGAGTTCTGCAAATAAAAAACAAATTGCTGCAAATAAATAATGAGTTGCTGGAAATAAAAAACGAGTTGCTGCAAATAAAAAACAAATTGCTGCAAATAAAAAAGGATTTGCTGCAAATGAAAAAATCGAGTTGCTGTGCAAATAAAAAACGAGTTGCTGCAAATAAAAATGTAAACGCTGCGCGCGCATTTTTTTCCGAGTAGGACTGGGAGCCATGAAGCGATGACGCGTGTTCACGATTTCACACGTCTACTGCTTGTTCGCAAAGCTCTGTTATAAATCTAGGTTTGT